TATCCACAACCATGAACCCAGATCAACCTCTTTTCTTTGCAAAGTGACCCAGTTTTAGCTATTGCATTATAGTAATACAAACCAGACAAAGAAATCCTACTGCGACTGATTCTATTTATGTCTTACATCCGCAGCGAAGGACCACGCTGTCCATCTGACTTCCTGGTGCTTGTCACAACACAGACCAGAGGCCAGTCCAGGAATCAAAGCTGGCTCTGACACTGTTCCTTGAAGGGAAGTCTAACAATGGCCTCTTAGAGTGAAAAATAACCACGTGAGAACATCCCCAAGCAAACTACAGACAGGGGCTCTCTTCTCCCACATGCATGCACAAGAATCACAGGGATTCAGCTTTAACCACGGAAGCTGTAGACCCATAGACAAATGGTGGTTGTCCTAGCAAAAGGTCCTTTGAAATGTTAGAAGTTCTTATACTCTGTCTCCTTCCTAAGAATTTATACTCTACCTATACAGACTATTTTCAGAAAACAAAAACAAAACTCTGCCCATCTTGGCAGATCACAAAATGTTCCTGAGTTCTTTGCGGGGGCATTAAGTCTTGTGAAGCCTCTGTGTGTAATGCACAGAGTGCCCTGGAGGGGGAGCTAGGAGACACCTAATCTCAACCAGATGGAGGCTGATGTCAGGAAAGGCTTTTCTCGGTGAAAGATGGCCTCAGCTGTGGTACCCCACCGTTAGCCAATGCACAAACCATGTAACGTTTCCTTACACATCCAGTTATGCATTCCACTCACTTTAATTCACAGACTGTTTGTAGAACACCTGCAGGATCCACAGGACCCAGCTAGGCTATGTTTGAACGTTTAGTACATGGAACTGTATATAAAGAATGGTCCAAGACAAGGGAACAGCAGGTATGGTAGCCCAAAGGCAGGAGCAATGTGGACCCAGAAGAACAGAACGGATGTCAGTACTGGCAAAAGTATTTGCTATCTTCTTAGTTAAGATATTATTAATTAAACTGGGTATAGTGGCTCAAGCCTGTAATCCTAGATACTTAGGAGGCAAAGATTGGGGATCAAGGTTCAAGACTAAACTAGGCACAAACATTCACAATACTAGCCGGGTGCCAGTAGCTCACGCCTGCAATCCTAGCTACTCAGGAGGCTGAGATATGAGGATCGCAGTTCAAAGCCAGCCTAAGCAGGAAAGTCCATGAGACTCTCATCACTAGAAAACTGGAAGTGGCACTGTGGCTCAAGTGGTAGAGGGCTAGCGTTGAGCTTAAGGGCTGAGGAACAGTGCCCAGCCCCAGAGTTCAAGCCCCACAACAGACAAAAAAAAAAAAAGTTCACAATACCATTTCGCTCAATAGCCAAGAATCCTGACACATACTTGTCATGCTGGTAACAAAGGAAAACACAAATCGGCCAAGGCATAAGGCAATATACCATCTTGAAAATAACCAATATGAAAAGGTACTAGAGGAGTGGTTCAAGTAGTAAAGCACCTGCTTAGCATTTCAAGACCCTTTCAAAACCTCAGTATTTCCCCCCTAAAAAAAAAAAAAAAAAGTATTTCTTTTAAGACAGGCACTGATGGCTCATGCCTGTAATTGTTATACCGAAATTCGGGACCCCCCCCCCCAGAAGACCACCAGAGACCACGATCAATGTAAGCAACAAAGAGCCGGTTTATTGCAAGCTTGAGCTTGGTCCTCCGCGCACAAGGTAACCGGTGACGCTAAGAGGCCCTGAGCATAGAATCAGCGCAGTTTTTATAGTATTGAACAAACAACTTTAAGGAACTTTTACATAAGAAATTACATGATTGGTTAACATTTACATTTAAAGCAAGCTAAACTGGGCAAATAATGATTGGTTGACCTTTACAGAAAAATGTCCTTGGTCCATAGCTTGACAGAAAAAGGTTACGGGTCACACCCAGACCAACGGAATGCATGGCTTGTCTTGCCCCAGGCTCTGAAGAATGGGTTGGTTAGAAACTCTTAGTCCTAGGTGGCTGGGGGGCAACACCACTTTAGCCACCATCTATGGCTCCAAGAATTGTGCATGGCTTTCTGTCATAAATTCCTAGCATTGGGGCTAAAGTGGATCGAATCAAGTTGCAGAACTGAGATGGAGTGTTAAACAAAAATGGAGTTGCTTAGGTTTCTTAAAACATTATATTTCTTCCCTAGGGCCTTACTGTCTCGGCCTCCGGGAGGGGCGTTGCAGCTGTGGGGATGATTCTGAGGACTTTGCCCCCTTGGTCAGGGCTGTAAACCCTTTGAAGTGTTTTACTAAGCAACTCTAGGCTCCCAGGCTGACATTCCACTACTGAGTAACTAAAACCAGTCACAGTTAAAATCAAAATCATACAAAAACCATACAATCATCTAGCACAAAGCAATTCATACAGAAGCAAAAATGGCTGTTAGGTGCTGTCATACACACACACACACACACATACACACACACACACACACATACACACACACACATTATTTTTTTACGTTCCTCATAATCCTAGCTACTCTGGTGACTAAGATCTGGGGATCACTGTTCAAAGCCAGAATGGGCAAGGAAGTCCATGACACTTATCTCCAATTAACCACCAGAAAACCAGAAGTGACACCGTGGCTCAAAGGGGTAGAGTACTACCCTTGAGCAAAGGAAGCTCAGGGACAGTGCCCTGAGTTCAAGCCCTATGGCTGACAAACAAAAAAGTATTTCTCATAAGAAAAATGCTATGAACCAGCTGCAATTCACCACACTCCAAAGGCATATTTGAGAAAACGCAATATAAAAGTCGAAATTAGGGGGAAAGTGTTGAAATTGACATAATTTAAATAACCATAAACACCTCACTAAGTGAATACCCAGGGCGCATCCATCCGGGGCTAGAATTCGTGCAAACAGCAAAGGATGTGAGATCATTGCTACATTCAGTCCTCCAGCTCATTTTCTAAAATGTCAAACTGTGGCTCCTTTCCAAAGTAAAAAATGCCTTCATGTTGGGGACATGAAAGCCTAGGGAGGAGTTATAAAAATAATGGAATGTTAAAAGGTAATCTGCCTGGATTCCCTCACAGGGAGGTGGGGGAGAGCTTTCATTGTGATCCCAAAGCAAGTGACGAACAGCCCAGAAAGCCAAGCCCACTGCTGGAATTCAAGCCTGGTTGAACTCATTTCTGCCGGGGTAAAAAAGCCCTCAGCTCATCGCATTGATAGAACTCCGCACGACCACCGGCCCAGACGCCAGGCTCTCCTGATCAGATACGGCATGTGTTATTGCTTCCCAAAATAACCTATCAGCTGCTTCAGACGTCCACTCTGGGGAGCAAAAGAGCAACAGACACAGCTAACTGGGGCATAAATATAGAACGAGGCATGCAGTCAAAACAGCTTTGCCAGAAAATTCTCTAACGAAAAGGTTCCTCTTTTATGCCTAGAATAGGAGGTGTGGATTGAGATGGCGGAAGGGTTTGGGGCTTACAATGTCTGGGTATCCATGTGAGCTCCACCATCCAATCATTGAATCTTGGGACCCAGCATTCCCCTCTCTTCCTCCCTCAGCCTCAGTATCCCCACTAGTACAAGAAAATAAAGCCATTGTTTTCCACTGTTATTGCCAGAAATTAAGAATGGAGGGTTCAGCCGGGGGCCAGTGGTTCACCCTGTAATCCTAGCTAGTCAGGAGGCTGAAATCTGAGGATCACGGTTCAAAGCCAGCCCGGGCAGGAAAGTTTGTGAGCTTATCTCCAATAAACCAGAAGTGGCACTGTGCTCAAGCGGTAAAGCACTAGTCTTGAGCTGAAGAGCTGAGGGACAGTATCCAGGTCCAGCGTTCAAGTCCCATGACCAAAAAAAAAAAAAATGGAGGGCTGGATGTCATTAGCCTGCCCAGGTTCAATTCTGGCTCTACCACGTCCTGTTTGTGTGATGTACAGGAAGTGGTTTGGCCACCCTGTGCCTCAGTTTCCCCACCAGGACATGGACACATTGACTATCCACTTCTATGGTTGCTGTGGGGTAAAACAAGACAATATAATAGCTATCTAGAAGTTTCTCTGCAACACAGCATTAGCTATGATGGTCCATACTGCATTAGTCATTTATATTTATACATATATATATATATATATATATATATATTCCTAGCTATTATTGTTAATTACTGTGCTATAAAGCACAGTAAGACAGTATTGTTTAATATTTAGTTATGTATTATATAGCATATTATTAACATATATAGCATAAACAGCATATTATCATATCATGAGTTATTATTAGTGTTATTGAAAGACCCCAGACGCTCCTCCCGAAGCCCCTATTGAGCCCAGCAAAAGATTAAAGATTAAAGTTGAAATTATTATATTATACCATTGCTAACTGCTGGTTTTGCTTCTGTAAACTTGCTTGCGCTAACACTAACCCTTCCCCTCCCTGGAGATAAGTGCAGGCCGCTAACCAGGAAACGAAACCTCGAGCCTCTGAGTCACCGCCGGCGGACCCTAGCATGACCCTAGTACATGCCTTAAAACCAGGCATTCCGGTAAAATAGCCGATCACCACATTCCTTCCCGTAAAACTCAGCCTTAATGTTAGGGTGAGGCAGGATGTAGTAAATCACTTGTCAAAATCAGGGAACGAACAGTTTCGGTGCATAACGACCCGCACGGACTTGTCCGGGCAAGTACCAACACGTCAGCTACCCCCCCAACCCCACCTACCCCATCTGGCCAGCTTAATCTGACCAATCCTCACCCTGAGCGTAATTTGAAATTAACCAATCATCCCCCTGTAACCACGCATCTCGCTTCTGTAACCTCGCCTCTGCTGTCCATAAAAAGAGGGTGCTTTCAAGCACTCGGCGCGCAGGTCTCCCGATAGACTTTGTCGCCCCGGGTACCCGTGTAACCGGTTCTCAGACACTCAACCCGAACCTTGTGGATCTCGAGGTTGAGTGCACCTGGGAGCCGAGGGCTTGCCCGAATAAACCTCTTGCTGTTTGCATCCGCACAAGTGGTCTCGTTGTTCCTTGGGGAAGGGTCTCTTCAGATTGAAGGACACCCCACACCGCCGGGGGTCTTTCATCTGGGGGCTCGTCCGGGATAGAGACCCCCACCCAGGGACCACCGACCCATTTTCGGGAGGTAAGCTGGCCAGCATCTGTGTGTCGTCTGTGTGCTGTCTGTAAGCTGTCTGAAGTCTTGTGTGGCCAATTTCTGTGCGCTTGCGAATCTGGTGAGTTCGGCCGTACTCGTCCGTATCTGGCGGGCCCGTGGAGGAGCTGACGAGCTCGTACTCCCGACCGCAACCCCCAGGAGACGTCTTGGGGGTGTCCGGAGCCTGAAACAGTGGCTCATCCGGAGCCTGAAACAGTGGCTCATCCGGAGCCTGAAACAGTGGCTCATCCGGAGCCTGAAACAGTGGCTCATCCGAGGGCCTGAAAAAGTGGCCCATCTGAAACCCGGTCCCCTCGGACGCGTGGTTCATCAGAGGAGACGAGAGATCCGGACTCTCAATAAAGTCTCCATCAGGTTGTTTTCTGTTTGAGAGCAAAGACGCGCAGCGAAGTTACGTATTGTCTGTCTTGTGTTTGTGTTCGCTAAAAGTTTTTATAAAATGGGACAAACTGTCGCGACCCCGCTTAACCTTACTTTACAGAACTGGAGAGATGTGCAAACAGCGGCTCACAATCTTTCAGTAGAAGTTAAGAAAAGAAAATGGATAACTTTCTGTTCATCAGAGTGGCCCACTTTCAACTGTGGCTGGCCACGAGAAGGAACCTTTAACCTAACCATTGCCTTACAGGTTAAGGCCAAAGTCATGGATCCGGGACCACACGGACACCCAGACCAGGTCCCCTATATTGTCACTTGGGAGGCTCTTATTTCTGATCCTCCCTCGTGGATAAAACCCTTCCTACCCGCCCCGGCGCCCCAACCCCCTACCCCCTTGACCCTTCCATCTGCACCTCAACTCCCGTCCCCGCTCCTTCCGTCCTTGACTCCCCAACCCCAACTCCCTCCTCCTCTCCTCCCCTCTCCAGCTCCCCAACCTCCCTCACATTCCTCACTTTACCCAGCCCTTGTTCCCCTAGAAAGTAAAAAACAGGTGCCTCCGGAGAAAGGCAGGCCTGCCACCCCAAAGGTTCTGCCACCAGGGGAAGAAGTTCTCCTGGATTTGTTGACGGAAGAACCGCCTCCCTATCAGGGACATGCTCAGCAGCCTCAGGAAGCAGTGGCTGCCGCCCCTCCACCGCCTGCCGACCCTGCACCATCCCCGGTGGCCGGTCGACTCCGCGGACGCCGAGAACAGGTCCCGGACTCTACCTCCACCTCTCAGGCGTTTCCTCTGCGTGCAGGGACGAACGGCCAGCTGCAATATTGGCCCTTTTCGGCCTCAGACTTGTATAATTGGAAAACTAACAACCCTCCCTTTAGCAAAGACCCCTCAAAACTAACCTCTTTAATTGAATCTATCTTAGTGACTCATCAACCCACTTGGGACGATTGCCAGCAACTATTGCAGGTACTGTTGACTACTGAGGAAAAACAGCGTGTTTTCCTCGAAGCTAGGAAGAACGTCCCCGGGGACCACGGGCGTCCCACTCAACTGCCTAATGAGATAGACGCTGCTTTTCCCTTGGAACGGCCCAATTGGGACTTCAATACGGATGCAGGTAGGAACCACCTACGCCTTTACCGCCAGTTGCTAATAGTGGGTCTCCAAGGGGCCGCCCGGCGGCCCACCAATTTGGCGCAGGTAAAGCAAGTAGTTCAGAAAGTAGAGGAGTCGCCTTCGGCTTTTCTTGAGCGTCTTAAGGAGGCATATCGCATTTACACTCCTTACGACCCTGAGGATCCAGGGCAGGCTACGAATGTTGCTATGTCTTTTATTTGGCAATCGGCTCCTGATATCAGAAAGAAGCTAGAGAGGCAGGAGGATCTTCAGACATTGTCCCTCCAGGACTTGCTTAAAGAAGCCGAACGCATTTATAATAAAAGGGAGACTCCAGAAGAAAGGGAGGAAAGGCTGAGAAAAGAAGCTGAAGAGAGAGAAAGTGCACGTGATCGTAAAAGAACAAAGGAGATGAGTAAGTTGTTGGCCACCATAGTATTAGGGACTGATAATGGGCCTGCGTTCGTCTCCCAGGTAAGTCAGTTGGTGGCCAAACTGTTGGGGATTGATTGGAAATTACACTGTGCTTACAGACCCCAGAGCTCAGGGCAGGTAGAAAGAATGAATAGAACGATTAAGGAGACTTTAACCAAATTAACACTTGCAACTGGCTCAAAGGACTGGGTGTTCCTCCTGCCCCTTGCCCTTTACCGCGCTCGCAATACCCCTGGCCCCCATGGCCTCACCCCTTTTGAAATCTTGTACGGAGCTCCCCCGCCGGCTGTCAATTTTCTTGACCCTCATATATCTGACTATGCTAATAGCCCTTCTTTACAAGCTCACTTGCAGGCACTTCAGATTGTCCAGCGTGAAGTCTGGAGGCCTCTTGCGGCAGTGTACCAGGATCAACAAAACGACCCTGTCGTGCCTCATCGTTTCCAGATAGGAGATTCTGTGTGGGTCCGACGCCATCAGACCAAAAACTTGGAACCACGGTGGAAAGGACCATACATCGTTCTCCTCACCACTCCTACAGCCGTAAAAGTGGACGGAATCGCCGCCTGGATCCACGCGTCCCACGTCAAGGCCGCCCGGACCCCGGAAGAGACCTCAACAAACCCGGACTGGAAAGTGCAGCGCACTCAAAATCCCTTAAAGATAAGACTTACGCGAAAATGATTTCCTTTGCTTCCCTTGCTTACTTGCTATTCCTATCCCTCTTGAGTGTTGCCTCTCCCAATCCCCACCAGCCCGTGCGACAGACCTGGCAGATTTTGTCTGGCACAGCGGATGTAGTCTGGCAGATCAGCTCCGACCGCCATCCGTGGGGAGCTTGGTGGCCAGATCTAACCCCAGATGTTTGCCAATTAGTAGCCGGATCGCCCCGCCCCTGGGACCTGCCCGGTTTCACCTTTGATAAACTCCCGGTAAAAGACTGCTCGGGCATACCCAATATGGGGGGCTTTAATGCAGGATGCTGTTCCCCGGACAAAAGGACAAGTTTAGCCAAGGTTGATTTTTATGTTTGCCCTCGAGAAGGTAGAGCAACATCTAACCAGTGTGGACAGGAGAGTGACTACTTTTGTGCCTCTTGGGGTTGTGAGACCACGGGTGATGCATATTGGAACCCAAGTTCCACTTGGGACCTGATTAATGTAAAAAAGGGACGGCCCTGGGGTACTTCATGCTACTTCAAAAGTACGTGCCTGCCTTTAAAAATATCCTTTACAGACAGAGGAAGAGCTTTACTTCCTGCCCTATGGATGGCAGGCAGACAGTGGGGTATTAGATGGCATACAATTGGATCTGGACCCTATGGAGTGACATTCCAAATCAGGCTACGCAGGCAAACAATAACACCCATCCTGCCAATCGGGCCCAACCCAGTTTTATCAAAACCCAGGGTCCTCACTGCTAGAAATCCTCCACAAACCCCCTTGCTCAGTGCCCCCGTTCCGCCCCCTTTTGCGACCAGTTCCCCCTACCTATCCGCCTCAATGCCGGTCCTGGCCGCATCAGAGGCAGGGGAAAGACTCATTGACCTTGTAAAGGGAGCATATACTGCTTTAAATTATTCTGATCCCAGTCGCACCGAGAGCTGTTGGCTATGTCTGGTCTCCAATCCTCCATACTATGAAGGCATTGCTGTAAAAGCCAATTTTTCCATCCACTCCAACCCCCCTTCCATCTGTAATTCACTGCCTTCCCACCAGCTGACTCTCCCAGAAGTATCTGAGAGCGGGACTTGTTTAGGTAATATCCCCCCTTCCCATCAAAGACTGTGCAATAACAATCAGGCTGTATCCCCTGGATCCCATTACTTGGTTCCCCAAACTGGGCTCTATTGGGCTTGCAATACAGGCCTAACCCCCTGTGTGTCGACAGCTATTTTTAACCAAAGTAAGGATTATTGTGTATTAGTACAGATTTGGCCTCGCATCACTTACCATCCTGACAGCGTTGTCCTCCAATACTTTGACCGACCAACTCATAGAGGCAAAAGGGAGCTCGTGTCTATTACATTGGCTGTCCTTCTAGGTATAGGAGGGATATCGGCTGGGATTGCCACAGGAACCACCGCCCTGACAAGAGTGGATTACTATTCAGACCTCCAGCAAGCCATGAATAACGACTTAAAGACTTTGGCAAACACCGTCCAAACACTAACGGACTCGGTAAACTCCTTAGCTGAAGTAGTCCTTCAAAATCGAAGGGGATTGGACTTACTGTTCTTAAAGGAAGGGGGCTTATGTGTAGCCTTAAGGGAAGAATGTTGTTTTTATGTCAATAAGACAGGAGTAATAATCAAGTCCCTAGATAAACTTAAAGAAAGACTAAACAATAGACAGCGAGAATTTGAGTCTCAACAAACTTGGTATGAAGGGTTGTGGAATAAGTCTCCGTGGTTTACTACCCTGATATCCTCATTAATGGGACCATTAATACTCCTCATGTTAATCCTTACTGTGGGCCCCTGCATCATCAATCGCCTAATACAATTTATAAAGGACCGCCTATCGGTCGTACAGGCCCTAGTATTAACCCAACAATACCACCAACTTAAATTGACGGAGGAATCTCCAGTTGAATGAAGGATTTCATTCATACAAAAAGAAAATGGGGGAATGAAAGACCCCAGACGCTCCTCCCGAAGCCCCTATTGAGCCCAGCAAAAGATTAAAGATTAAAGTTGAAATTATTATATTATACCATTGCTAACTGCTGGTTTTGCTTCTGTAAACTTGCTTGCGCTAACACTAACCCTTCCCCTCCCTGGAGATAAGTGCAGGCCGCTAACCAGGAAACGAAACCTCGAGCCTCTGAGTCACCGCCGGCGGACCCTAGCATGACCCTAGTACATGCCTTAAAACCAGGCATTCCGGTAAAATAGCCGATCACCACATTCCTTCCCGTAAAACTCAGCCTTAATGTTAGGGTGAGGCAGGATGTAGTAAATCACTTGTCAAAATCAGGGAACGAACAGTTTCGGTGCATAACGACCCGCACGGACTTGTCCGGGCAAGTACCAACACGTCAGCTACCCCCCCA